TGTTACGCGTTGCTAATGTTCGAGTGACAAGACCAAAGAAGATCGTAGAAAGACGAGAAAAGATGCGTTAACTTGATACAATTTGTGTTTTTATTGACACTTCGAGAAACGATTCAATAAATCTTCTTCTTCGATTTTCTTTATTTCAAATTTATAAAATTCCTAACAATTTTTATTTTCAAATTATCTTCTCTCGCGTATCTCCTTTGTTAATACAAGATTTCGTTAAAAAAGAATTCGATGATATAGTTCGAATTTCTCGTAAGGAGAACGGGTTCAGTACGGTGGCCTTTCTCATTTTCTTGTTCATTAATAACGCAGAACGCGTTAAACTTCGTTAACCCTCTCGTAATTGTTGCTGCGGTTGACGAAGCCCCGAGGAAATTCTTTCAGGGTAGCCGTTTGATTTTACGAGGATGGTTTCGACGTTAGAATTTACGATCTACCAAAAGTTATGAGCACGTTCGTGCGTGCCATTCTCTCTTTATCTCTCTCCCTCTCTCTCTCTCTCTCTTTCCCTCTCCCTCCCTCCCCCCTCTCTCTCTTTCTACCTCTTTCTATCTCTTTCTTTGCGATCACAGAAAACGAATGCATTTATGATGATCTCTTTTCTCCAAATAAAAAAAAAAAAAGAAAAAAAGAAAATAAAATGATCCGAGAAAGGTGTCGGTAAGAAATCATTTGATCGTTCACACGACGGAATAATATTAAATCGATAATCGAAAGTCCGGTTATGTCTCTTGTAGAATATTTTTGGAAGAATATTTTTAGAACGTGGTTCATTTTCTATTTAAGGTGGCAATGATGTGAGAGAGAGAGAGAGAGAGAGAGAGAGAGAGAGAGAGAGAGAGAGAGAAAGAGAGACAATATTAGTATTCTAAACATACCGAGAGATTTCAGAGAGAAGAGCTTGAAGGTCAACAAGGATTCTTCTCTATCATGGAAATAACAAAAATATGTCGGACCGACTCTCGACGACGTAGAAAGTATTACGCATGCGTAGATACGTTTTAAAAGACGATCCAGTCATTTTCAATTACCATCAATTTTTCAATTATTTTTTTCAAAGATTTCATATTTATAATAACAACACCGTATAAATTACGTTTACAGCCTTCCGATAATTTGGATCGATGATTTTTTTCGTAAGCGATTCTATCCCAATTAAAGAAGAAGAAAAAGAAGAAGAGGAAGAAGTAGACGAAGAGGAAGAAGAGGAGAAAGAAGTAGAAGAAGAAGAAGAGGAAGAAGTAGAAGAAGAAGAAGAAGAAGAAGAAGGATAGCAATAAGGATAAAAACAATAAAAAAAAGAGGAGTATAGCGAACTGTAAACGGCAGCTATATTAGATTTTTATCTTAATCCTGGCGATCTATTTTAACTTAATGAAAGTCCTCGGCACCCTCCAAACTTCCTCCCCCCTTTAGTCACCCCGTCCTCACTCTTCCTCTTTCCCTCTTATTCCCTTTCCATTGCAGCCTCCCGTCGCTCGTTTTCACGTAGCCTAATTTCACAATTTTGCGACCATCCTCCGCGAGTCATCCTTTTTTTTCTCCTCCTTCCCATCCCTTTTTCACTCCCTTGCCCCTTCCTCGATTCTCCATCTCTCTTTCTCAAGATACCGGTGCCGTGGGCCAACTAATAGGGGACCCACAGGGGGTCGAAGAGGAGGAGAAGATAAAAAGGAGGATCTCGCGCGTGAGACGGAGAAAGACGATCGTCGTAAAAGGAAGAGCAAGAGGATGAGAAGGAGGAGGAAAAAGAGGATGAGGAACAGAAAAAGAAGAGGAAGAGAAAAAAAGAAAGAGGGAGAGAAAGACAGAAAGAGAGAAAGAGAAAGAGAGAAAGAGAGAGAGAAGCGGCACGGCGAGGTGAAAAAAAAGAAGTTTGCCAACAGCACCGGAGGATGCCCTGAAAACACGCTGGACGTGTGGCGCCATCTCGGCTCCTCTTTTTTTTCTTTCCTCCTTCCTGCACCGGCACCGTTCCCTCCGCACACCCTTCGCGTGAGCTCTTTATGCTTTTGTTTCTTCGCCCATACTAATTCTTCGCGAGGTGCATGGTGCCTGGCTGCCGCCGCCGCCACCGCCCGCAGCCGCCGTCGCCGCCGTCGCCGACGAGTGACGCCAGGGGATGATGCTGAAGAGAAGAGGGACCGAACGTGGTCTTCTCCTCTTCACCAGTGCCGGATCCGAATGTTTTTGCACCCTTGGACAAGGCCTGTCAAAACACCTCTACGACCCTTCTTTTTTTTTTCTCTTTTCCTCTCTTTTTTTTTTCTCTTTCTTTAATATATCGATCGATCATCCTTGATCGAGCATCTTATCGAATGCCTCTCGTTTTCTTATCAAATTACAAATCGAACCGAGTCGAGCCAAGCCAAGCCGAGTCAATTGGGAACAATCTTCTTTTCGATTACTTGAAAAAGGGAATCAATCGTAAAACGTTTTGATTTTTAATTTATTCGCGACGATAGAAATTAATCAGATTTATATAGATAAT